TGGCCTGTCCTTTCTTACTGTTTATACAGAGAAATTTTTCTTTCTATATTTTCAGAGGGAGAATAAGTAATCCTATCAATTAATCACTGCTTTGATCCTTCTTGTTTAGTACTCACTTTCCTGTTTAATTCAGCGTGACTTCAATTCAGTTTTTGATGTTGTAAAGTCTTTAATTCTCTCCACTAGAATATTCATGGCCCTAATCTTAAGCATTACATTTTGTTTACAGTTCTGTGATTTTGCTGTATTCCATGGAGACTTCATTCCCAAATAAATAACCAAGCCTTTTACAGATTATCTCCATTTCTTTCTACAGAAGAGAGCACAAGACCAGCTGTACCAATGGAAGCCATTTGGTTCTGTCTCCTGTCTTGACGGTGGCCAATAACTTGTACCTAAGACTTGAGGGGAAGGCACCTTCCCCTTGGCTGCACTCCTGGCTTTTTGGTTGTCAGAAGTTAAGGATTTTGTGGGCAGAAGGTTGTATCTAAGTTATCATGTTTAACAATTCACACCAGACCTAACCTCTATAAATTTTCTAACTGCTCTTTTTTTAGCAGAGTTTAATTCCTCAGCATCCACAAATTATGCAAATATAGGAAAAAGTTCCTTGTTTTCAGATCCAAGGCCTTGTCATTCCTGTGTTTCAAAATATAATTAATATAATAATTTTATAGCATTCATTAATGGGGCTAAGAGAGTGAAGACTTGCCCCCCTCCTTTTTTTTTTTTTTGCGCCTAAAGCTCCTAAAGAGAAAAATTACTATTTTTTTCCATGTCCAAAGCCCTCCCTGCTGCTTTAGCAGCCTTGTGCCCTCCTCTACAAGATGAGGAAACCAGAACTAATATGGCATTGCAGATGGAAATACATTTTATTTGTACAGTGGCATAAAAATTTCTTCCTTCTGGTGTCTCTGCTTTGTCAGCTGTTGATTCTCTCTGAAAATCATCACGATGGCTCTGGATCCTGAGTGACGGTCGTGAATTTGGAGCTCCTTGTTGTGCTTCTGTGGCTCAGGCCATCTTTCCCTTTCTTATTACACTGAGCTCAAGGATACCAATTTATTTACAGACTGTTTGTTTTTTTTTTTTTCTTCAAGCAGTATTTCAGTATCATGATACTCTGCTGCAGCCTTGTAGTCTGATTTGACTGTCCTGAATAACTGTTGCCATAATGATTTTCCCTCATTTATTTATTCATATTCTTTTTCCAGGTTGATCGTGGGTCTTCTAAACATGGTACTGTGCAGGGCCGTGCTCTTTCCTAGTTTTTAAGTATTTACATCCCTTTATGCAATAGTATTTTCTCCATTGCACCTTAATTTCCTCAGTACCACTTGATAACTTTGTCAAAAGCGTTTTTTAAAATGCCGGTTTGCTCAATTGATACCGTTTTTTTATATCTTCATGATTGTTTCGAATAATTCTGGTAGGCTGTAAGATAATACTTGCTTCTTCAAAAAACATATTAATTTTTTCTATTAAGTATTATTTTTAAGTATTCTCTCAAAGATATAAAACATCCGTACAACAAATGGTGAGCCTGGACTCCTGGAATTTACTGGCTGTATTTTCTGCATCGCGCTTAGAATAGGCTTTAAAATTAGCATCACAGTAGATACCTTTATTCTTCTGGCAGTGAGAGCAGTTTGAGCAATAGATTGTGAAATTGTTATGTGTAGGAAGCTGTTTGATACTTGATATGCTTTAGATCACTTCAGTAAATACCATCTGGGTTTAGCAGTTTGCTACTTCTGTCTCTCAGTTTGTCCTAAAATCTCTCTTGTGGAATCTCATTTTTGGTTTTGTTTTGAACCTCTCTTGTTGAACCTTGTTTTTGGTTTTGTTTGGAACCTTTCAGCTTCAGCAAGCTCGTTCTTGCTGAAGAAAAACTGTCTTCTCACCTCTGCTCTGATCCAGAGGATTAATTTAGTGCCCTTGGAATCCAGTCGAAGGATCTGAACACGTTTTGTCTCAGTTCAACTTGCTGAACCAAGGAGCCAGTAACAGGTAGTGCTTTTGCAGATCTGGTTTGAAGGTCGATTGCAGAGCGCTGAGATGCAGGCCCTAGGTGTTGTTCAAACCATGTGTGATTTGAAAGGCACAGAACAGGGTCTTGTCCCATTCAAGAGCAAGCAGCTTGCATGGATCCAAATTCTGGGATACGATGCGTTATTTCAGAGCAGTCCTAACCAGGTTGTCCATGTTCTAGAGAGAAGAGAGTCTCTTGACTTGGTGTAGCTTCTCCATCTTTTTGAGTTGTGTAGGAAAATCAGTTTAATGGATGCTTTAATACATTGGTCACTGGAAGGGAGAGGACTCCGTTAGGCAGGAAATAAGGGAAAACTAACAGCAGATCAAAAAGACTTCATGCCCATGGATTTCTGCAAGCAAATGCCTTGCATGCAGTATTTCACCTCCTTGGTACATGGGATTAGAGGTGTCATTGGCAGAGCCCGAGGGGTGTTAACACTTCCAGATAGAGTCATTACTTCTGATATTTGGCAGCTCTGCAGCTTTTCACAGAACTGAACACGCAACTGGAGAATTTTGCTACTTTTTCATTAGAAGAGTTTTATGAAAACTAAATTCAGCAGCCTTAGCGGTGATTTTGATTTAGCGTGTGCTAAAGGTGTTTTCCTTTTCTAGAAGAGAAAGGTGTTTTTCTTTCCTGACAGTCTCCTGAGCAGTATTTTGCAGGCATAAATTGGTTGGGAAAGTTACAGTCTATAGAAGACTTTGATTTGAAAGAAGTCAGAGAAGGGATAAATTTTTCAAGTCCTTTATTTCCGAATGTGCTGTCTTTTGTTAGTACTGTTATTTTTGTGTTCAAAATCTAACTGAAGGTAAAAGCAAAATGGAAATAACAGCAAGGATGAATAAGAAGTCGGGTGGAAAGATGGGAGATGCCGTATGGCCGGAGATGCCCGTCGGACAGGATTGTGTGCACGGGAGGACACCGTGCTGGAGCTGGAGCACTCGGGAGGTTTTCCCTGACCCGGCGAGTGAGGCTGTTACCAAAGTGGTTTTAGGAGCTGCTGACCACTGAGTGTGCAGGAAAATATCACTGAAAAGAAAAGCAAAGGCCAGACTCATTCAGTAACTAGAACCGCTTGTGGAGTTGATCTGGGAAGGGTTGGAGAGTTTTTAAGCAGAAGTGTGTTGCAGAGCAACTAGATCTTTCAGGAACGGAGGAAAACAAGTTTGCCAGAGCTCGTGGGCAGAGGGGAAAACACTGAAGCAGCACAGAAAGCCGGCGCATGGGTAAGACCAGTCTTTTAGTGCAAGATGAGAGCTGGGATCTGGGACGCGCAGGAAGGGACAGCAGTTATTTAGATAGGGGCAGTGCAGGTCTGGAGGGTACCCAGGATGAAGCGGCCTCTCGCTTCGGGGAATCGCTCCTTGGAGATCGTAACCAGCCGGGCTGCCTAACTTCCCTGAGGATGTTTTGGTTTTCCTTCTGCCCCCACAGTCCCATTCCCGGGAAACAGTCACTACCTCAGTAGATTGCCCTAAGCCTTGGTCCCTCCACTTTCCTAACTGCTGTTCACTGGTTGAACACAATAAGGTTTGGTATTGGCTGTAGTCATCTTATTTGGTGGGATGGTGTCATCCACAACCTTGGAGAAGGGCTCGGTAAGAAAAATAGTGAAAGTCTAACTGACAAATTCAAGAAGGGCCAGAAAGGTATGAGAACAGGTTGGTATGGGGGATTTAGAGCAAGAATGGAAAATAATTGTGCAATATTTGAGAAAGAAATGAGGTGTAGGAACAGGAGAGCTCTGTTCTTGTGTGAAGGTGTCTAGGAGAACATGTATATAACAACGAGCTGGTTAAGGAGAGCGAAGCAACGTGCCCGCTGCAAGGCATGTCTCGGAAGCGCAAACACCCGTGTTTAACCCCTGTGAGCAGCTTCAGGTAGAAGGGACCTTTCTTTTTTCCCCAGCCATGCTGAGAATGTCACTGCCCATTGTGGCCGCTCTGTGTGTAAACGAGAGCGGGATCTCTTGGGTGGCTGCTCCTCGGGACAACGGGAAAGCTGAGAACTGGCTCCCTGCTATTCCCTAGGGAGCGAGTCCAGCCACGGAGACGAGCAGATTCCGGATTTTAGAGCTGCACTAGAGAAACATCATTTGCTCCCAACAGCCCAAGAAGCTACACAGTGATGGGCAGCGTATTCACACCACGGAGATGCCTGGTTTTGAACATCATGTTTGATAATCCGCATGGGTTCTGCTGCACATTAGTGTTGTTTCCCTGTAAATTGCCTAGTCCCGCTTGCCTCTCTTCCCTCTTTCCCAGAGGGAATAATGAAATTTGCCTGACAAAGTTCCTGCAGCTGCAGTCTCTTCCATTAAGCGCTTTCATTCTCCACGTTGGTAGGAAAGTTTGGTTATAGGATGAGAGTGGAATGATGCTAGTCAGGGGTCAAAAACTTGAATAATGTTACAGCTGGGGCCCCTTTTTGGCGTTGGGCATCAGCAGTTCCAGAAGGGAAGAATGGTGGAAGTTTCTCTCCCTCTCAGCAGCTAAGGATTTAGACCTCGAGGAAACAGCGTTTTAGCAGGCCCTTAAGCAGACAAGTTCCTTGAAAATATTCACAGCCAATTCCCTTTTCGAGCTGGGGGCTTGCTGGCCTCGCCTCTAGTCCTGTTGGGAGCAGCTGGATTCATTTTGTAAATAAGCTATATTTCCCTGGAGAAATAGAGCTTGGAATGCCCCCTGTGTGTTGTCGGCTTAACTTCCATTTAAAAAATGGATGTTTTATTTGCT